AAGCCCCTTTTCCCTTTTTATACTGTTGTCTCTCTTCACTTGACCTAAGGTCAGACATTAAAGACTAAATTTCGTCATGAAATTTCTGAGCAAATTTTCACGTATTGATGTGCTTCTATAAAAAGTTTGGAAAGCACCCCTAAGGCCATTGACATTGCCAAAGGATAACAAATTACCTAACCTTGGATTGGTCTAGCAAGCCAAGCTCAAAGTGTCTCCTGCTAAGGATGTACTAGACCCTGTATCTACGTTAAATCAATTGGTTTTCACAAAAACCTCATAAAGTAAGTTCCAGCTTCAATCTCATAATTATAAATAAATAGGCTGAAGCAAGTGAGTCTTAGAGAAGTTCTTTAACTTGCTCCAAGTCTGAGAGGTGGTAGAACCAGGGCTTGAATCTATGAGCCACCTGACCCTGAAGCTTGACCCTTATTACTGTCTCTGCCCACAGTAGCTCATGTTGGCGGCATCCTTACACTAGGCAACGTAGTATGCTAAGTTCTCAACCTGCAATATCTCATCGGCGATTTATAACACTTTGCAAATACTATTGGCAGTGCCATCATTTTACAACAAAATCGGGCTGGTGGGGGTGGCCTATGCTTGTAATCCCAGCACTTTGGGAGGCCAAGGTGGGAGGATTGCTAGAGCCCAGGAGTTCAAGACCAGCCTGGGTAATATGGTGAAACCCTGTCTATAAACAAAAATAAAAATAATATACAGATGACAAAATAAGAGATTAGAAAAGTCAAGCAACATTTTTTAAGGCAAAGGAAAAAGCACACTTTTTGGCATGAAATAACAAAACTGGCCCTCTAGGTTGCCTCGATTCATTTACACTTTGACATGCATGCGGGCCTGGCTAAAGAATATGTACATGAATATGAGTCTTTTGCTCACTTGCAAGAGTAAAAGAAAAATATTTGAATTGCTAAGGTGAGAGCCATCATGCCAATAAACATCAAAACACTCTTAATCCTTTGATCAGTGAATTCTATACCTAAATAAAATAATTATTGCTTTCATAAAATGTCTCTGTTTACTACCGACAGAGAGCAAACTGAGCTAGTATGTCCTGCAATAGCCTTTAAATAACCAAGGAGAGAGATCAAAATAAAAATAAATCTTGACCAGATTTATAGGTGCGCCTTGATTAGTTCTTGTTATTTTCCTTCAAATAAGCAACACCTGAAAAAAATGAAAAGGGAATGTTGAGACCAGATATCACGTAATAGATGGGCTTTGTCTGACATACAGTATAGCATAATGCCGAAAAAATAATGCTGGCCCATCATTCGTGACACTTACCAGCTAAGTGGAGCAGAGAGAAAGACAAAGAGGATTTTTCAGGTTGCGGAACGGGGTCACCACTTGGATTTCAACAAATTATCATTTGTTTTACTGAACTTCTCAAAGTTTTGTGTTAGTGTAGCATTTTGTCGCTTTCTCTAAGACAACAGGTTTTTCTTTTGCTTCAACTGGTAACATTTTTTTGAAAAATTCTACCATTAAAATCAAACGTAGTTTATTCAAGTATAATTCCATTGCTTGCTAATGAGAAAGTATGTCTTTTAAGAATTTTAATTATGTACAATGTGATGAAACTGGAATTATTTACCTACTAAGCCATCTCTTTCTCCTTCACACTCCCACTAACACTCAGATCTTCTCAAAGTGAGATGCCATAATTAATAGAAATGCCAGTCAATAAAGCTAAGGATTTTTCTTTTTAAAACATTATAATTCTCATTTTTCTGTAAACTATCTTTTTAACGAAAACTTCATTTCCTTCAGGCAACACTTTATTTACGATGGATTTGGCTAGTTGAATAAAAATACCTGTTAAAGGAGAGAAAGTTCCCTTCAAAGCTGTTGAAATCTGATTTCATTTCAGATTCTAGAACTAATGTTGTTTTTTGTTTAAATAGATTTTGTCTGTCAATTTCCAGACCTGCTGTGCCATCAGCCTGTATGGACTGCTGTGGTCAACACGGGGGTTGTAGCAGCAAATTTTATTATGGCCTGGTAATTGAATTGAACAGGTTTACATTTGAATAGATTTACTACATCATGATCTCTGACATACTGCATGGGACTGAAATCCCTCTCCATCCATAAAGATACATTTAAGACAGTATCATTCTCTCTAGGCTTAGAAAGCAAGTCTTGAGCCAAGGAGATGGCCAAACATAATTGTTCATTTATATGCAGGGTACAATGCAATATTTCACTGGATTTTTTAAGTATAAAAGAACAAGAATATTACATTTTTACTCATAACCATCCCATTCTTTTGATTTGGTGGTTGCAGGGAGGTGGGGGGCGGGGTTAAAGAACAGATATTCTGCCATCAAAGTGGGCATTAAGAAGTAAAGGAAAATAAATTATTATTTGAGTATATCAGCAACAGCAGCAGTTCCCTAGAAAACAGATACTTGCTTGATAACAGCAACTGAAGAGGTGTGAATCATAGATAAGCACTGTTCCATTCACTTTTACCAACAATGTTTAATTAAACACAGTTCACACCTCTTCATTCACTCTTAACACCCTTCAGGACTGTTCCTGCTAGAATTCACAATGGAAAAAATATTTAAGGAAAAATATTTTTTATTCTTCCTCCTTAAACCTGGAAAAGCAAATAGTTGTATAAATTATAGTAGTAAGTCAAACTAATACAAATATTATGTATTCCTAGATTTGGAGAAGTGACTCCATGTAACTGAGTTTTTCAAAATAAAACCTAAATCTAGATCAATACAAAGTGTTCATTGTTATATTAATTTTAGAACTTTTTAAAAAATGGATTTGCTTTTGAAAAATAATGATTTCTTAACTTTCAAGGATTTGAAATCACTCTTAATTAAGCCTTTTTGAATGAGCATAAATTAGGGTTGAGTCTCTACAACGAAACTAAGTGGCAACATAACTATAATTAAGGCCAGAAATTGACTGTCAATCACCGATCATTAACTTTCAGAAATATGTTTTGTTTGTTACTCTGCCATAGGGTTTAAGGCAATGGTAGCTTACGTTCCACTTCACGAACGTAAGCTACCACCAACATCCTGACTAAAAGAAAAACTCTTTGTCATGTGAGTTGGGGGACTGTTGTCTTAATTATATGTTTTCCTTTATCAAAAGTGTCCTTCTGGCAATTGCACATAAGTTTTCTCTAGCAAGAACCACCTTATCTGTCTTTTTCACTGTTGTATCACTGGAGCCTGGAGTAGTGTCTGACACAGGGGAAGACCTTGATACATATTCAGCAAATGGATTATAAATGTAAAACATGTTAACTCTGAAAAATCCTAACAGGACCAAAGGCTATACTGTAAAACGTTCCCCCATCCTCATTTTCATTCACCAATGTGACACTCTCACTAATCTTTAGGTATCCTTCCTTCCTTCCACTTTTCCATGTATACACATATGTATATCCAAAACAGTGTGTATCCACTATCTATCATCCATTCTCCTTTCCATCTCTCTCTATATATACATATATATGTATACACACACATACTCTCATACACACACACACACATACACACACACACACATAATGAATCATACTATTTACTATTAGAAAACTTGTTCTTATAGATATATATTTACGTGGTAATGTATCTTAGTCATCTTTTCATAAACCTTTATTATAACATTATTCACTTCTTTGTTTTTAGCTCTTTCTCAAGGAAAGAACAAAGCTGAAGACTAGAAGAATTTGAGAGGGTCTTCTCTGTTCCTATTTGACAAGTAAAAGGCAGAGAAACATGATGTGAATTTCAGATATCCAAACATAATTTGATCTACTCATCTTCCTATAACATTGTTCACAGTAAAAATCTTGAAAGAACAAACCAGGAAAAATTATGACACTGGGTGATGACACACACTCATTGACACTCTGGTTCACTCTTGGTGAATTAACATGTGAGCCTATTTGGATTTAAAAGTTAAAAAATAGGGGATCTCCAGTAAGAACAAAATATACTAATAGGACAAGCCCCAGAAACAAAGCATAGTTCTATGATGTAACGGAAGTCACACATTTAAATATTTAATGAATCTAATTTTCCACCAAACATTAATTACCACTTTTTCATTGTGTTACTTTATAAAACTGTGTTTATTACAAACTCTGGTGGATGTTCTGAAGAAAAGGAAACAGAACATTCTAAATGCAGTATGTAAAATGCATATTTACAAAAACACACAAGTACAGCAATGCATAAAAGAACAAAAACCAAATGGTAGGCCTCACAAAGCAAAGAAAACTCTTTATCCATCTCCAAGCTAAAAAGTGAGTTTCAATAGAAATGCTGAAATATACAAATATTTCGGACCTTTGACATGTGTGGAATAGCTGAGTGGCATCTAGAATTGATGGGTTCAGTTCCTGGCTCCACCAATTGTAAACTGTGTGAGCTTAAGCAATTTGTTTAGCACAGAATACATGTCACTATTACTATTTTATGCTTGTTGTTCTTATCCCCCACTGGAAACAAATAGAAAGCAATTTTAATATCATATTTCAAGCTCTTAGTAATAGAAAATAAAGTCTAAAAGGTTGGAAAATAATAAAGAGTGCTTTAAACTCAAGATTAATTTAAAAAAAGAAAAGAAAAGAAAAAAAACTCTCTGCAAACCTAGTAATAAGAAGAAAACCAAAAAGTCAATGACAGTAGCCTCTTGGTTTGTCTTCGTCTCCTTTGCCTTCTGCAACGTGTAAAGAAGGAAAAAGCACAACAGTTAAGCATACCTGGTGTGTTCAGCTGTGCATAAGATTCTCCTACCTTGTCCCTTCCTGTTGATGTCAGGCAGTTAGCCATAAGGTATCAGAAAGTCCAGGTGTAAAGAAGGAATATTCTGCCATCAGAGTCAGGGTATTTACTGTTACCTCATCTTTTTCTGGTTTCTCTAGAATTGGTGGAATTTCTTGCCTCCCAACCACACATCAAAATCTAAAGCTCAGGGGCACCAGCAAAGAGACTTACCTTCTTTCAGCATGCCCACTTTTAAACACTTCATGAAGCGGCAAGCCTGGCAGGATTTACGTCTGCGCTTTGTGATTTCACATTCATTCGTGGCAGGGCAGCTGTATTCTATATTGCCTAAAACACAAGTTTGAAAAAAAGTTGTCAGATGTGCAAGATCCAGGAAACATTAGCATCCCAAAGGCAATGTCAACTCTATTATTCTTACTCCCCCACCCCAAAAAATGTCACGAGACTCAAGAGAAATGTCAGAAACATCATCACACTGGATGCTCTGCTATAATCAAGAACACACATCATGAAGTGCTTCAAAAGATGAATTTTAAAATTAGCCTTCAGAACACTATGCTGGGTTCACCCATGCAAAGAGTCTTCCAGAATCTTGCGATCCAAAAGAAATTTCAAAATAGATTATGTTCATGAAACACAAATATCAAAACCAGAGTCTTGGATTGTCAATCCTGGATTTATTTTGGTTCCTAATACTTTGGTGCATTAGGCTTATTGTCTTTCCGACATTGAACAAGGTAAACTTCACTCTGGAATGACATGTAAACTAATATGGGATGTTAGAGTAAGCTCCTAAAGGGCAGGGACAGAAATTACACAGCTGTTGCTACAGCACTTACCAGAGCCTTACAACACAACTCTGTGCTTGGTAAATGCTTACTGATAATGGTGATGATAAGGAAGATGATGGTCATCATCATTATCATCATCATCATGAGGTTTGTTACATAATTTTCATAATTAATTCCAAACACTGAAGTTCCCTGATGTTAGAATGAAGAATAAACTGCTATGAAATTGTATTTTTAATATGAGACTGTATCATTTATGGTAGTACCTACATACTTAGAACAATACCTATGAAACCAGCAGAAGATCCAAACTAAATTCTTTTTCAATTAGTACCAATGACAGCGTGTGGGATGTGCTCTGGGCTGTCTACAGCTTTATAAAGAAGCTGCCTTTAAAATAAAGCCTTTCTCCCCTATCAGCTCTGTCACATACTGCTTGAAGGTCTTTCCTTACTTCCTAACCCTTTCCCCTTGTGATTAAGTGCATTAGTATCTTAATGAAAATGCATTCTGTTTATTGCCCTCTTGGGAAGGGGGAGGTCATCACACCAAATGCATAAATTGTCATCAGAGACGGTCCGAGCATAATTGCAATTTTGCTGCTCCGTGTTTGCAATACTCAGGGTCCGTCCAAGTCCCCTGAAACATGCGCAGTTTCTAGTAATTAGCATAGAGTCTGCCTGGGACCACAGCATTGATGAAATATTTCAGAGTTAATCACACTTTGTAAACACTGATTTATATTGACTACCTTTCTCCAGACTGATGTCTCCTCATTAAATATCACATTAGTGGATTGCAGGATGGTACAAAGACTCAACTACTCAGCAACTGCTAATTCAACAGGAAGTAATACCTAACCACATATAACTACTGAAAATGGTTAAGTATGTATGACTTGAAAAAAAAACACATTATAATTTGAGATAGGCTATCAACATTGCCTATATTAGCATTCTAATTCAGGGCATTTATAACAATAAAAGCAACTACTTTTTAACAGGAGGTTAAATAATAAGAGTAATATTAATTGCATCAACAGAAGTATATACCATTACCTTCCTTGAAGATATTACTGATGCTATACTCTTAGAAAACCAAGGATAAGTCAAAGAAATCAGGGTGGCTGGGTCACAGCTAAGAATAAAAGGATTTATTATCTGAACTTTAGATGAACCACTCTTCAGAGTTTCTTTAACCATCCGTGAATATTTATGTTGCATCAAAAGAGTGTTGCTTTTAATTTTCTAAGGGTTAATTAGTATTCCATGACTAGAACCTTCCATCCTGTACAGCTCCCCCTATACTTACTCAAAAAGAAACAGGTCTTTGCTGTCTTAGGAAGGACTGAACAGTGACTGGTTAAAAGGATCAAAAAGAAAGAAAAAAAAAAGTTTGCCAAACAGCATTCCTTTCCTTTCTTTCTGCCTGAAAAGTCAGTATGAAGTAACACTTTGTTCGCTTCCCTTATCAAGGCATGAGTGCTAGCCCTGCATACCTTTAACCCAGTGCTAAAAGCTTCTACCAGGATGAGCCACTGCCACAAACGTAATCACCATTCTTTGAAAACCTGTTCCACTTCCTCTTTGAACACCGTATCCTCATCCTTCACATCAACATACTTCTGGCAAGAATGCGCATCAGGCATGTGTGAGCTCACACCTGGACTATGGGAGTTATCTCCTCCCTGGGCTTTTCGCCTCCATCCTGACCCACTCTAATCCACGTGGCTGCTTTGATCATGTCATCACGCTAAGTTTTAAAAATCAATAGATCTCTTTGCCCTCCTGAATGAAATACAAACTATAAGGCTTACAAACAAGGTCCTCTCTCTGTCTTTCAACTACTTTTCCAGAAATATTGCTATTATTACCTGACATGAACTTTTTGAGGAAGCCAATTTGATTTATTCATTTTTTGCTAAGTATCCTTCAGATTTTCCTCTGAGAATTATCTACCTTTGTCACTTTTTCTTTTTACAATTATTTCCAAGTCTCCTGTTCAATTCCAACTCTACTCGAATCTTTCACGAGAACTTCTCCGACTATCCCAGCAGAAAATGATTTCTTGGTTTTCATATCTTTTTGGGTACTCTCATCATACCAAGACAGACCATATTTTGTTATACTTTTCATACACATATTACCCATTGGATGGTAAGACACTAGGGGGCAATGAACATTTCTTATGCAGTATAAAAACCATCCAGGCCGGGCAGGTGGCTCTAATCCCAACACTTTGGGAGGCTGAGGAAGGCAGATCACTTGAGGTCAGGAGTTCAAGACCAGCCTGGCCAACATGGCAAAAACCCATCTCTACAAAGAATATAGAAAAATAAACCAGGAGTGGTGGTGTGCACCTGTAATCCCAGCCTCTTGGGAGGCTGAGGTGACAGAATTGCTTGAACCCAGAAGGCAGAAGGTACATGAGCCCCGATCATGCCACTACACTCTAGCCCGGGCAAGAGAGAAAGGCTCCATCTCTCTCCTCTCCCCAGTAAAATAATATACTTAAAATAACAGAATTCTCTTATCTCAGGGTCATTATTATGAACATGAATTATGGATTATGGTGCTCTAATACAGTGTCACAGGATCAAGTGAGCTGCCTGTCTCACTAGGAAGCAATCAATGTTAAAAACAGTAGGAAAACTATTTCACACATAATCACAAAAATAGAAAAAAGGACCAGGCGTGATGGCTCACACCTGTAATCCAGCACTTTGGGAGGCCAGGGAGGGTGGATCACTTGAAGTCAGGAGTTCAAGATGAACCTGACTAACATAGTGAAACTCCATCTCTACTAAAAATACAAAATAGACGTGGTGGTGCACAACTGTATTCCCAGCTATGTGGGAGGCTGAGGCAGGAGAATTGCTTGAAACCAGAAGTTGCAGTGAGCCAAGATGGCACCATTATACTCCAGCCTGGGCAATAAGAGCAAAACTCTGTCTCAAAAAAAAAAAGGAATTCTAGTTCATATTTTGATATCGTGAATAGTAGCTTTGATAAAAATGGGAAAAGGTGTGGCAAAAGGGGAAATATTATGCAAAACAAACCATAAAAGCTTCTGTGCAGTAGTGTGAATAAAAGAGGAAATCATAAAGGAAATTATAGTATATGGGAAATAAAAACCCATCCTGATATGTATAGGATAAGAATAAAAGAAAAATAAAATAATACAGATAGATTGTACCAAATGAATTATATAATTTTTATCTTACTGTATAATTCCTATCAGTATTAACAAAATAAGTGCTCTCAGGATTGGAGCTACATTGGAGAAAATATTTAGGATTGGTTCAGTAATAGTAGCTAGATCTATGAATGACTCATCTAAGAATAATTATGTAAAGATTTTTAAATCTCTTCAAAAGGCAGAAGGGAATCTGTCAAATAATGACACGAGACTTTTGGATCACATTAAAAGACTCTGGTCTCCTTTCTATCCGTCATATTCCATAATTCTTCAATGACAAAGGGAAAGGTAAAAGCAGGGGAGGTTTTCCTAGTGTCTTGGAATGAAATCTTGGAGTAGGACCTCTGCCTTATTCCTTTTGAATCCTCAGTGCTTATCAATGAGCCAGAAATTTTGTGTTATGGCTGGTTTGGGACAGAGAGAGGTGGTTCCTGATACTAACGAGTCCACGTAGAGGAAACAAGACGTGTAAACAAACAATACAGTTTAGTGGGTGCTGTCATGGTTCAGGATGCAGTACTGGCACGTACATGTATTCCCACAAACACAGGGATGATGCTTAGGAAGATCAGCAAGTTCTTCACATAGGAGCAAATGCCTGAACTATGCCATGAAAAATAAACTAGTGGCTACATTGGGGTAAAGGAATCTTCCCAGAGCTACAGCAAATACAACATGGATGTAAAAATTTACCCCGAATGGATGGAAAACACAGTGGTCCAGTGTCTTCACAAATGATATATTTTTAGCTGAAATGTATAGAAATTGTTTCTGATAAACTGGGCCTCTTTCACAGATATTTTCATTCAAAAAAGTTGCCTTGACACGTGTGGATAATAACCTTGATTTCACTAAGTAACTCTGGTTTATATCTTGAAAAACAAGTCAACATCATTCTAATAATTTATTTGCTAGAGGAAAACCTCTAATTTCCATGCCCTCCCATTGAGTTATTTAGTTCACTGTTGTTGGCGATGATGATCACCCACCCAACAAAGTCTTTGATCCATGTTAGAGTCTACAGAGATTGTGCCCTTGAAAAACCTTCCCTGATGCTTTCTGTATTCAATAAAGAAAGCATTTTATCCTAAATATGTGCTGCCCCAAGCACCTGTGTAACAATGTTACATCTATTTTGGTAATGGTTCAAAGACATGATTCCCAGTAGACCATATGATCTCTATGGGGCACTTGTTTTCCTTCCATTCTCTAAAAGTGGAAACTAGACAAAAATATTTCCAATAACAACTATGGGCACCTGGAATGTGAACACTGGATATTCATTCAGGAGGATGCAGAAGTTATTGTTCACAGCACAGAATTTTCATTTCAGACACG